TATGTGAAGAACTGGGATCTTGGAGGATGATACCTTTTCTGTTTTAGAAGCAGTGAATTAGTGAGGGTTTGGATTGTTGTTACTAAGAGAATACTGTAGAGGCCACCAAAGTGCATTAGAGAAATAATACCATGTAACCCTTTTTCCCCTCCAGAGTTGTTTTTCACCTCTAATAATTGTGTTCTCTCAATTGTCCCCAACTGTTTTAGGGCTCTTGTAAGTTCAGAGTTTCTAAATTCATACTTTTTTATCTTCCAGGGACTGTACTGTGCCACTTGTATTGACATGAACTGCCAAGTAATCATAATAAAGACAGTAATTAAGCATTTAGTATGTATTAGGCACTGTTGTAAGTTAATCATAAAATAATTAGGTCATGTCTTTATCCTCATTTTTATATGAAGAAACTGAGGCAGAGAGATATTAAGAAATTTGCCCAAGGTTACATAGCTAATAAATTGCTAACTAAAAGTTTAATGTATTCGAATGTGTTTGTTTAGACTTCAGATATACTTTTGCTGAATTCTCAGCACCTACCCCTAGAGTACTGTAAATATAAATTTTTTAAGGGGTGGGGAAATGGGGAGAAAACCTCTTGTTCCCAGCTAAGGATTGGGGTTCCCCTTATGACCACAAGTTCTGTCCATCTCTGTGTATCATATGACTAACTTTTATTACTGGAAGAATTGAGGAATTTGTTTTATGTTAATCATGATTGAGGCTATAATACATAACTGCTGGTTTGATTCTTTAGTTTCTTTCTTTCTTTCCTTTGTTTCTTTTCTTTCTCTTTCTTTTCTTTGCTTTCTTTGTCTTTCTTTCTTCCTTTCTTTCTTTCTTTTTCTTTCTTTTCTTTCTTTTCTTTCTTTCTTTCTTTCTTTCTTTCCTTTCTTTTGAGACAAGGTCTCACTTTATCACCCAGGCTGGTCTCAGACTCCTAGGCTTAAGTGATCCTCCTGCTTCAGCGTCCCTAGTAGCTGGGACTACAGACATGTGCCACGGTGCCAGGCTTTGGTTCTTTAGTTCTTTTTCCTCTCCATCTTCTCATCATGTCCCCATGGCTAAGAAGATTCATGGCAAAGTTTGTTAATTAAAAGTAATATTTTTGAATTTTGTAACAATTGGAGGGGTTCTAAGACTTTACAGGATCTGTATTGAGAATCTCTGTTTGATTCTAGATTTTCTCTGGTTGGTTTAGGGAAAGAAGTGGGTTGAAATGTTGGGAGTTGCTTTGCCTTTTAAAATATCCTTAGAAGTAAAACATGTGGAATACTTGAATGTTCTATATGGTTTTGACAGTTTCAGTTGAATGGAATTAAAGATAAAGGGAGAGATCTGACTGGTAATTTCAGTTATAGGGAATTAAATATGCTGGGGAGATCTGACTGGTTATTCCTTCATTTTTTTTTTATATGGATTATCAGTACATATGGTTATTTCTTCATTCTACAGTTGGCTCAGATAACTGTGATGGCCATGCAGGAGAAATACCCTGCGGAGAGGATTTCTCATGCCACTTCACCAGGTGAGTAGTTGAGTAGTCAAAGTTTTCTGGGTTGAATTCTGACCTTTGTTCTGTTATTTCATATTCTTTAAGGAAAATACTGAGCAAACAAGCATTCACTGAAATGCTGGTACTAAAAGAACAAGAATAACATGGGGCTACACTGAATATAAAAACAGGTCTCTCTGAGGGAACGGGTATTTATCTCAGGTCCTACATGGCTTTCCACAAGACCACGTGATTGAGAGGGGAGGACACATAAAGAATGGGAACAGAATGACTTTGGAACATAGTTCCATTTGAAATCAGAAAAACACAGCATAAATTACTGTGTTCTGTGTTGTCTTTATTCTCTGGGCGGGTCAGTCATCTGCTGGCCCACAAAGATCAGAATTCTTTTTGAATGCCAACAGCCTTTGTTGGGTTGTCACTAGAGACTTGGGAATTTATCTCTAGAATGGATTAACAAGTTTTTGAAAGCTCAGTAGATATACCAAGTAGATATATTAAGTAGTATGTAGTTGTCACTCAGAATCCATGGGAAATTGGTTCCAAGACCTCCTGCAGATACCAAAATCTGAGAATGCTTAAGTCCCTGATTAAAACGGGGCAGTATTTGCATATAACCTATGCATATCTTCCCATATACTTTAAAACATCTCTAGATTACTTAGTAATACCCAATGCGTTGTAAATATTGTATATATAGTTGTTGTACTGTATTATGTTGTTTAAGAAATAATGACAAGAAAAACAAGTCTGTCCATATTCAGTACAGATGCAGTTTTTTTCCTAATATTTCTGATCTGAGATTGGTTGGATTCATGTGTGTTGAACCCATGGATGTGGAAGGCCAACTGTGTATTAAACATACATATATGTATACACACACACACGTACACACCGCATAGGCATATTAAATAGATATGTTTCAAATAGGAAGTAGTATTTTAGGAAAATGAATTTTTGAATTCTGGGATCTTTAAGAAGACACCACATTTTATGCAACTAAGGGTATGTTTTATTTAACTTAAAAATCCCAGGCCGGGCGCGGTGGCTCACACCTGTAATCCTAGCACTCTGGGAGGCCGAGGCGGGCGGATTGTTTGAGCTCAGGAGTTCGAAACCAGCCTGAGCAAGAGCGAGACCCCGTCTCTACTAAAAATAGAAAGAAATTAATCGGACAACTAAAAATATATAGAAAAAATTAGCCGGGCATGGTGGCACATGCCTGTAGTCCCAGCTACTCGGGAGGCTGAGGCAGAAGGATTGCTTGAGCCCAGGAGTTTGAGGTTGCTGTGAGTTAGGCCGACGCCACAGCACTCTAGCCCGGGCAAAAGAGTGAGACTCTGTCTCAAAAAAAAATAAAAAATAAAATCCCACAGTGCCTTACTCATGGTAGACATTTGGTAGATATTTGGTGGTGTGTTCTCCTAGGCACGCTGCCTTGCATTCAGTAGGCACTATCATAAACATTGATTGAATCAATTCAAGAGTCATTCAGCAAATATTTATTGAACGTCTGCTATGGGCCACATACTGTTTTAGGATTGTACAGTTTCTGTGATGATTATTTATATAATGCAAGTTTTTGGAATGTAGCCATTCCTAACAAAGCTCACTGCCTTTTTGATAGCCTTTTCTCTTTTTTTTTTTTTTGAGACAGAGTGTCAGTCACTCTGTTGCCCTGGCTAGAGTGAGTGCCATGGCGTTAGCCTAGCTCACAGCAACCTCAAACTCCTGGGCTCAAGTGATCCTACTGCTTCAGCCTCCCAAGTAGCTAGGACTATAGGCATGCGCCACCATGCCTGGCTGATTTTTTCTATATATTTTTAGTTGTCCAGATAATTTCTTTCTATTTTTTTTAGTAGAGACCGGATCTCGCTCTTGCTCAGGCTGGTCTCGAACTCCTGAGCTCAAACAATCCTCCCGCCTCGGCCTCCCAGAGTGCTAGGATTACAGGCGTGAGCCACCGCGCCCGGCCCTTTTCTCTTTTTATTATTGTCTCATTCAGATTAATAATGGTCTTAATATTTGATAAGGTTGCTACTGATAGGACATGCAATATAACAAAAAAAAAAATCACCTTTCAAACTTGAATTTTGAAGTAAGTATAAGCCTCTTTAAATATAACAAAACACATTTTCAGTTTAACAAATATCTGGAATTTATTTGGAGTGTGGAGCAAGTGGATGGAAAAGTGGTAGTGGTAAAGAATGGAAGAATAGTAGTAGTAACAGGGAGCAGTTTCCAGGAGGCTAGGAAAATGGTAAAAGAGGACCTCAATCTTAACTATTTCAAAGAGGCCTGGCAAATTTGACACTGACTAGAGAGATAAAGCTGTGTAGACTCACCAAGAGGTCAAATTTCCTTGCTTCTAGCTAGAATTACACCAACTCGGCATAGTAGCATTGGCTAATCTCGTGTACTCAGAAGCTCTGATTGTTGCCTATGTCTTCTGTTAACAATTATTGCAGATTACTGAGTCTGTAAAGATTGGGCAATTTCTTTCAAATTGGGCAGTCCACTATGACCCAAAGAATAGAAGGAGTCTTTGAGGAAATTTAGGTTGCCTTCAAGAGAAAGCAGAAGTAAGGGTAGCAAAAAAGAGGTGAAAGTAGGTTAAAAAGACAAGAGAAGCACTGAAGTTGGAAGAAAGGAGTAAGGCAATTTGTGTTCACATATCATTTGCCTCCCATTAGATCAAAGAGTTTGTGGAACCGTATTTTCTGATTTCAACTTGACACTTTAAGTTAAGTGGAGGATAAGTAGCTGCCATTACCTTTTTTTCCCCTTGGTTTACGTGGATCATCAGACACAACTTAGAAAAATTATAATGGTTTTTAAAAAATAATTTGAATTTACATCTTTGCTAGTATGTTAGTGAATAAGTATCTACTGAACACTTCTTACCAGCCCTCAAACAGCAAGCTTTAAAGTCAAATAAATCTCATTAGTCTTTTTTTTGGTCTTACCTGCTCAGAAATTTTAGTGGTTTCTTTGCATTGCTTTCAAGATAAAGACTTAAGCTCTTCAGATTGACTTTCAAAACTCACCTTGATCTAGATTCACTGATTGAGGGTACCCTGGTTCAGTGAAGCAATGGTTTTCAACAGGGGCCTAGACTGGCTGGTACCCTAGGGATCATTTGGAACTATGTGGGAATTTTTCTGATTTCACAATGATGGTGGAATTGATTGAGGGTTGCTGCTGGCATTAGTGGGTGGGAACCAGGGATGCCAAATCATTGTGTAGTGTATAGATTACACATTGAAGAATTGTCATGCCCAAAATGCCAAAAGCACCATTGAGAAACTCTGTAAGAGGAAATGTGGGTGTTTGAATCGGAAAGACCTGGGTTCAAATCTCAGCTCTCCCCTCTGTAAAATAAGGATGGTAATACTTTTCAATAAGTAGGTAGACAAGATTATGTTGTAAAGTGTTGTGGCCTCAGTAAATGGTAGCTGCTATTAAATATGATTGTTTTTGGTCCCAGTGCCCCTGGATTCATAGTAGGTCTTATTTCTGTCTTTGCATATTCTCACCTTTCATGCGATTTCCACTTAAAATTAACTAGCTCAGAGTAGCTGAAATAGGTACAGGAGAGAGAAAGGGGTGGGGTACTACTATTCTCTCATCAGTTTAAGTGATTTTTAAAAAATGGTCTTATTTTTTAAAAATGGGGTTACATCAGCTGATTCACAGTAAAGGTGGGAAATGCCACTTGTTTCAGGTTCCAGTGTGATTCAGAAGGGCAGTTCTCTGGGGACTGAATGGCAGACCCCAGTTATCTCGGAGGCCTTTCGGAGCCGCTTCAGCCGCTGTTCAAGTGTAGCTGACAGTGGGGACACAGCCATTGGCACATCATGTTCAGACATTGCAGAGGGTAAGTTTGGATTAATGATGTGATTAACCATATGTGTAGTCATTTTCAGGTTGTATTCTAGGTGTGTTTTCATTTCCAGATTGTGTCATTTCTAAAATATTCATAATGTCAGACTATTCAGTCAAGGAGTCTGCTTTGATTCTTGTTACCATATACTTCTCACTTCTGGTCCCTTCATCTCAATTTCCACTGTTTATCGTATCTGAAACAATTTTCTAATAGGTTAACTGGCCTCAAGTCTTTCCTTCTGCCAAATTAATATTGCTAAGAGCCTGATTTTATAGTTTCCCTTTCCTATAGATCTTCAATTATTCCTATAACTTGAGGAATAAAGTGCAGAGGCCTCAGTTCTTCTGTGATCTGTCCCTACCCCACTTATTCAAGCATATTTCCTGCTGTCACCAAGTCTCTTGTCTTACTATGCTATGAAAGTACAGGCCAGTTTTTTGGGTTTTGGATACCTGGGCTCTTTTTTTCCTTCTTTAATCTGGGCTCATTTGTGCTATTCCCACCTCTTCTTGCTCCTAGCTGTGTTGATTTTACTTACTATTCAAGACCTAGCAAAGTGTTCCCTAAAACTTTTCCCATCCCTTCCATTCATTACTAATGGACTTCGTTTTTGCAGTATTTTATCTTTATTATCTCTGCCACTTGTTTGTGCATTTAAATTAAGTAACAACTACCAGGCTTTTATATGGGTATTTTGTTTTTCCATTTAGATGGTGAGTTCTTAGAAGGCAGAGGACTTAATGATAATAATTAATTATTAATACTATTTCTTATATGCTTTGCGATAGGTAAATTTTTTCTATATTAGTTCATTAAAGCACTTAAGAACCCTACAAAATATTTTATTATTTCCATTTTACAGATGAAAAGGGTGAATATAAAAGTGATTGGATGAGTTGATTAAAGTTGTAAAACTAGTCACTTTAGTACTTTATCATATGTTATCATTCAAAAACATATTTACTCCACAGGCCCTAAGATGACCTGTAATCAGAAAGATAATAACGTATTGATGAGAACGTAGAGAAATTGCAACCTTTATACATTGCTGGTGTGAATGTAAAATGTTGCAGGTGCATTGGAAAACAGTTTGGCAGTTCCTCAGAGGGTTAAACATAAGGCTACCTTATGACCTAATAGTTCTACTCCTAGGTATATACCCAGGAGAAATGAAAACATACACCAACATAAAACCTTGTGCACAAATGTTCATAGCAGCATTATTCATAATAGCCAAAAAGTGGTAACAAACCAAAAGTCCACAACGACAAAAAGATGAATAAAATGTAGTATATTCACATACAGTAGAATATTCTTCCTCAGTAAAAAGAAATGAAGTACTGATACATGCTACCTTTTTTCTTCTTTTTTTTTTTAATTTTTTTTTTAGATGTCTTGCCATATAGCCCAGGCTGGTCTTGAACTCTGGGCTCAAGCAGTCCTCCTATTTCTGCCTCTCAAGTAGCTGGGATTACAAGCACATGCCCTGTGCCCGGCTGATACATGCTACCTTAAAAACACATACTAAGTAAAAAAAAGCCAAATGCAAAAGGCATATTGCATGATTCCCTTTATGTGAAAGGGACTAGTCCAGAAGAGGTGAATCTACAGGGACAGAAAGGAAAGTAGATTAGTGGTTTTCTAGGGCTGGAGAAGTTGGGGGAAATGGAACATGAGTGCCAAAGGGTAAGAGATTTCTTTTTGGAATGATGAAAATGTTGTAAAATTGATTATAATGTTGGTTACAGAACTCTGTAAATATACTAAAAACCATTGAATTATACACATCAAGCAGGTGAATTGTATGGTAGTAAATTTTATCTCAATAAAGTTGTTTTTAAAAAAAGAATAAGCTGAGCACAGTTGTGGGTGCCCATGATCCCAGCTGCCTGGGCAGCTGAGGCAGGAGGATTACTTGAGCCTGTGAGTCCAGCCTGGGCAACATAGTGAGAACTTGTCTCAAAAAAAAAAGAATAGAAATGTTTGGAAAAATAAAAGGGGAATGAAAAGGAAAAAAACCCACATCTACAAATACTGATTCCTTGACACCTAGCATTAGTTTTAATAGTCTAACAGCTGTGTGTGCTCAGCAGATACTGAGTAGAATTGAATCATAGATTTTGAAGTACACAGGTCTTTAAAAACCACATAATTCTGTTCTTTTTCCCTGGCAGATAACAAAAGTTCCCCAAGGGGTTAAGTAATTTGCCTAACATCACACAGCTGGTTAGCAGATTCTGGTCTCCTGCCTGTGTAGTAGTCTTTTCCATTACTTGCATAATAAAAATGTTACTGTCAATTTAATTTTGACTTGTTAAGGTTTTGTCTACATGTATAGTCATGGGACCTTTTCATTTTGATTAAGTAATCTGTTTTTTGTTTTGTTTTTTTTTTAAGTCAAACAGTGGTCTGTATTTTTCCCTCTATTGAATTGACTGACTATATTTAATTCATTTACATTGTTGTATATATTATATGTGTGACTCTGTTTTTTATTCCTTTGGGGAAATATATATGTTTTTCCTTTCTAGTGCATTCTTTTAAATTGTAGTAGCCTTGAGATAGGGGCCAAAGCCATTGGTCTAGAATAGCAGTCCCCAACCTTTTTGGCACCAGGGACTAGTTTCATGGAAGATAATTTTTCCAGGGTCTGGGGGAGGGGTGGCAGATCTCAGGTGGTAATACAAGGCCCATAGATCTAGGATTTTTTTTTTTTTTTTAAAGGAACCTAGGTCCCTTTTCTGCTATCTTTGTTATATACCATGATCTTTATCTTAATCTTAACTCTTGCCTAATTTGTTCATGATTCTAGCTTGGAGTCTAGTTAACAAGAACCCTTATGACTGGCAAAAAAAAATATATGTTGTTTATTGTTGTATCTTTAATTGAATAGGCTTTCTTTTGATTCTACCCTTCACTAAGTTGTTTTACCTTGAAGATTCTCAAGGGACAGAGTAGAGGTCAGTACCAAAGAGCTCAGAATGTTTTCAGCTCTTTGCCAAAAACTGAAATTGTTATAAACCAGTACAGGATGTAGACAGAAGTGATTGAGATTTAGCAATAGCTAATTGCCCTTATTGTGAAAAGATTATTAGAAAGAATATGTTGTTTTGCAGGGAGGGAGAGGTGGGGTACAGAGAATGTGGTTGAAGAGAAAAGAGACTTAGAACTATATCCTTAGAGTGGCGAAAACCCAATGATATTGGGAACTGTAGACTAAGGTAAATAGAAATCACACATCACATATGCTAATTTTTTTTTTAAAGAGACAAAGTCTCACTATGTTGCCCAGGGCTGGAGCACAGTGGCTATTCACAGGCATGATGATTGCACACTACGGCCTCAAACTCCTGGGCTCAAGTGATCCTCCCTCCTTAGCCTCCCAAGTAACTGTGTTCTAAAACGCAAACCAGACTTACGGCTTAACTTGAATTTTTATAACAGTTTGTCAGAATCGGGCAGTTTCCTTGATATAAATAAATAAACTCAATAGACAAGTGAGAGATGCTGACAAAGACCTCACCTTAATTTTCTGGTGTGCATGGTCTATTATGTATAGAAAATTAGAAAAAAAACCACATTCTTTTGGGTCAGTTTGTACTTTTTCCCTGGCCTTGGTTTTGGCATTATTTGGGGGGGAGGGTTATCTTAGTTTGTTTTCTGTTGCTGTAACAAAATACCTGAGACTGGGTGATTTACAAAGAAAAGTTTATTTGGCTTATGGTTCTGGAAGCTGGAAAGTCTAAGAGCATGGTGGCAGCTTCTGGTGAGGGCTTTCATACTGCGTCATAACATGGTGGAGAAGTAGAAGACAAGAAAGCACTTGCAAAAGAAGACCACAAGAGTGAGTCAAGCTCACTTTTATAACAACCCACTCTTAGGAGAACTAACTGACTCTCACTAATCCATTCATGAGGCCTCCACTCTTATGACCCAATCACCTCTTGAGGCTTCACCTTTTAAAACTGTTACATTGGTAATTAAGTTTCTACACATGAACTTTTTGGGGACAGACATATTCAAACTATAGCAGGGGCTACGGGCTCAAGACTGAATTTTGTGAGTCTTGAGAGAGAGTGATTCTGTGGATGGAAAATGGAATGAGGTGTTGGCTAAGTTCATCACAGTAGCAACCCTTCGTGTGCCACAATCTCACATTCTTCTGTTCCATAATAACAGTATGGGAGCCAGGGACCCTTGTTGAAAGCTGATATTATGGTGCTGTTATGGAGGATTTCAAGTAGGTTGCTTACTAATCTTGGAAGTCTCTGTGTCCACCAGTTTACCTTAATCTTGTTGACTAGTCCTATACTTAAGTTTTGGGACATCAAAACTGTGTCCTTTATTTCAGTAATTTCCTTCTTTATTCGTCGCTAGAGGCTGATGCATGTTATCAGAAATTATTCAGCTTTTTTGATTTGTTTTTTTAGTGTGCCTTTTATATATCCCCAAGATCATCTGTGTATAGGAAATTAGATACTCTACATACATGGATAAGGCTTGCACATATTCGGTTGTGGGTTTTGTTTTTTTTTTTTTCCAAATACTTATTTATTCCTCCTGTCTAACTGAAACATTTTACTCTTTGACCAACATCTCCCCATTCCCCCTACTTCCCAATCTCTGACAACCACAATTCTGCTCTTTGTTAAATTCTTTTTTAGCTTCCATGTAAGTAAGAACAGGCAGTATTTGTCTTTTTGTGCCTGGTTTATTTCACTTAGCATAATGTCCTTCACATTCATTCATGTTGTTGCAAATGTCAATTTCCCTCTTTTTTAAGGCTGAATAGTATTCCATTGTGTGTGTGTGTGTGTGTGTGTGTGTGTGTGTGTGTGTGTGTGTATGTATGTATATATATACACCACATTTTCCTTATCTGTTCATCAGTTGATTCCATAACTTGGCTGTTGTGAATAATGAATCCATAAACATGGGAGTGCAGGTATCTCTTTGACATACTGATTTCAAATCCCAGAAGTAGAATTGCTGAATCATATGGTAACTCTATTTTTAGTTTTTTGCAGAACTGCCATACTCTTACCACAGTGGCTGTATTAATTTACATTTCTACCAGCAGTGTACTAGAGTTTCATTTTCTCCACATCCTTTTCAACACTTATCTTTCATCTTTTTGATAATTGCCATTCTATCAGGTGTGAGGTGGCCTGCCCATGTTTTTAAGGAGCTGTTTAATGAGAAGATGGTAGCTGATCTATACTCATATAATTCTGGGAAAGGTTATAGTATCTGTCCTCATTATCTGAGTGTGTTCTCTGTTGGTTGATGGGGAGAAAAAAAGAGAAACAAATCGGTAGTCCCTCTGCTCCATGGTAGATGTGCTTGGTTTAGAAAAGAGTACTAGATATAGTTGAAAGGGGAAGAAATTGGTATTCCTTTTCTCCTTATTCAGTTTTCTGCCTGCTGAATGTCATAAATGTGTTACCTTGCATTCCTATCTTATTGTTTGCTTGTAGCCCACTACCCCAGCACATTAGTTCTGTGACCTTGTCCTCCTCAGAGTAGCACTTGAAAGTTGTAGATAGGTAGAAATGTGAACCTTTTGTAGTAGGGCTAATCAGAGAGTTGTCTCCCAAGACTAGGCAGGGGCCAGAGGAAACATAAATCTAGTCTAAAGAAAATGTTAAAAATCACAGTTGAGTACACACAAGGGGACAAGTGAAAGACAAAATAAATAGTATAGCCTCTTGAGAGTGCTCAGTGTGCTACAGTGAAATCTGAGAGTTACTAAGAATAACTTCACATATCCAGGCAGTCAGGTCTGGGGTAAGAGAGAGAACAGAATCCTGACTCAGATGCTGTACTCCCTGCCCTGGATACTGAGCAAGACTATCTAGTTTGCTTTATTCTCTGAATAGTTTAGATTTAGGGGCTTTTGGAGGTCACAGAGGATTCTAGCAGCCATTGGAGAGGATATTATTATTAGATTGGATTATAGCTTAGAGTTGCCCAGCTTCCAGAAGAGTGGGAATGGACTTAATCCATTTCCCTTAAGTAAGTGATTCTTTTTAAAAGTTTGGTTTCGGCTGTGTTTGTTGACTGGCAAGATTTTTTATTCTAGTACAAAGGACAGACTGTAAGTTAAAAGTGAAGCCATTGTTGCCTTTTGTTGGTTTACCATGTGCATGGCATTTGCAATCCTGGAACACATCTCCCAGCTGGTTGCCATGCCTTTCTGCCAGATACTTCTGATGATAGTGCTCTCTCTGCTTGGTCTCAGGACAGGCAAAGAATGGCTGGCATAGCAGTCAAACTGAAGAAAGCTTGCTGCTTTAATTTTGACTTATGGAAGACTATTCTCTCCACAGATTTTTGCAGCTCAAGTGGCAGCCCTTCTTTCCAGCCCATCAAAAGCCACGTAACCATTCCAACAGCCCATGTGATGCCTTCTACTTTAGGGACCTCTCCAGCCAAGCCAAATTCTATACCTGCTAGACCCTCTTCCTCCAAACTTCCTTTGTCAGGGTTGGCTGAAAGCGTGGGGATGACAAGAAATGGAGACCTCGGTGCAATGAAACATTCTCCGGGCCTGTCTAGAGATCTCATGTATCTCTGTGGTGCTACTGGAGAAAATGGAATTGAGCAGTCCTGGTTTCCAGCAGTGGGCCATGAAAGAGAGGAACAAGTGAGAAAGTTTGATATTCCTAACATGGAATCTACCCTCAATCAATCGGCAATGATGGAGACACTTTATTCAGATCCTCACTACCGAGTCCATGTACACAACCCAAGAACTGACACAAACAAGGAGTTGTACAAAGTGTTGCCTGAGGCCAAGAAAGCACCAGGCAGCGGGGCAGTATTTGAGCGGAATGGACCACACCCTAGCAGCAGCGGGATGCTCCCTTTGGGACTCCAACCTGCTCCTGGGCTCTCCAAGCCTCTACCCTCTCAGGTATGGCAGCCGAGTCCTGATACTTGGCATCCCCATGAGCAATCTTGTGAACTCAGCACTTGTCGGCAGCAACTGGAATTGATCCGCTTACAGATGGAGCAAATGCAGGTACAGGCCCTTGTTTCCTTGGATTTAGAAGGTTCTTTGTGGTTCTTAGAACTTTATAGCTCTTGTCTTACAAGTTTTGACTTTAAAGGAAAAGTCATTGGGATTTGTAAGAAAGAAGATGTTTGTAGACAGGATAAGGCTTGTGTGAGCTGTTGGTGGTCTGATTAAACACTATATAGGTTTGCCAAAGTAGAGAGTTACAAGGGAAAACCTGAAAATGTAGAACACTAACAGTGATTGCATACTAACTATATTCCAGTCAATAGGTTAAGTACTTTCACGTACAGAATCTTATTTAATCCTCATAGCACACTGATGAGGTAAATGTAGAAACTTACCAGGATCTTAACCAGGATCTTAAAATAAGTAATCTGTCTAGGTTCACAAAGCTGGTAAGTGGCAGTGCTAGGGTTTAAACATCTTTGAATCCCTGTTTTCTTTCCATTGTACCACTTTTGTATTTTTCTTTTAAAAAGTCCTTGTGCTGCTGAAGAGTGGGAAGGAAGGGAGCAGACATATTCTCCTTCCTTGGTTGGTAAGGACATCTTAGCTCCTGAATTGCCTCTGTTGCCAAATAATAAAAGATAACTGACCTTTTCTTAGAAACTAGAGCCTTTCTGAGCAGGGAGTGTTCAGTTGGCAGAAATCTCCCTGACAGGTTCTTTCCAGTCATACATCAGAGCTAAAATTATTTCATAAACATTGGGCCTTATCAGGCTGAGCCAAGCTGGGCCTTCACCACAGACCCAGCTGAGTACTGTTCAGGTGTTTTCACACATTTGTGGGTCAAGATCAAGCCCCTCTGTGCTTGCTTGTTTTTCAGCTTCAGAATGGAGCCATCTGCCACCATCCTGCTGCTTTTGCTCCTTCACTGCCCATCTTAGAACCAGCACAATGGATCAGCATCTTGAACAGTAATGAACACCTTCTGAAGGAAAAGGAGCTTCTCATTGACAAGTAAGAGGGGCAAAGGGTGCCAAAGAGCCAGCCTCTACTCTCCCAGGCCCCATTAAGGGGACCTAATGAAGTCTTCCCAAGGGCAGTGCATCCCCCTCTGTTTAGGCCCGTATCTTGCCTCATGGTAGAGATTGTTAAGCAGCCTAGTCTTGTGTCTGACTAATGTGATAAGCCAGTTGTGTATCTCTGCAGGGGCCCTAGGGAGTGCCTAAAGGGGGAAGCCGGTTAATTTCAGCCAATCTTACCTCATTTCCCCTCAGTCATATTTTTCATTTGTTATTCCTTCTTCGACAAAATAGTGACGTCCAAAATCCAAGGTCTTTGCTTACATAATAGGGATTGAACTCATCTGTTTAAGGAGAGTAGGGGCTCATACTATGAGGGGGTTAGTGTCAGGACCCCAGACCTGATTCTACTGGCTTTTGCAGACAGAGGAAGCACATCTCTCATCTGGAGCAGAAAGTGCGAGAGAGCGAACTCCAAGTCCACAGTGCACTTTTGGGCCGCACTGCCCCCTTTGGGGATGTTTGCTTGCTGAGGCTACAGGTAAGTATTGGCAACCGGCATGGCATTTTGTTTGTCATAATTTAGTGTCTTCCTATGCTTAGCACCATTAGATATCCAGGAGATGCAAAAGGGATCAAGTGATGTAGGTATCCCTGCCCTCAGAGAGTAAACATGGTAACTGTAAAGCACCTTTGCCATGCCCTTGTGGGGACAGAAAAGGCTTGAGGGAGTAGTACCAGGTGAAAGTCCAGATGCCTTGGTGGTCAGGACATACTTGGAAGAAAAGGAAGGCAGAACAAGGTAGATATTAAGGTCCTAGAGTTGGGTCATGTTCTGAGAAGTCTTTTAATCAGCCAGCCCTGGCCAAATGGAGGGAGAGGCAAAGGTAATGGGGGATTTAGAGTCATTCTCATTTTTATTTGTCCATGTCTAGGTATAACTGAAGATAACCATATTCTCACTGAGATCAGTGGTTGTGGGGGTTGAAGGCTTGAAAACAAGCCTGTTTTGTTGACCAAGCTTCTGCAATTTGGGCTTGCTGTTGTTTTTTTGTTTTGGGGGGTTTTGGAGGTTTTTTTTTTGAGACGAGGTCTCACTCCGTTGCCCGAGTAGAGTGCAGTGGCATGATCATAGCTCACTGCAACCTCAAACTGCTGAGCTCGAGCGATCCTCCTGCCTCAGCTTCCTGAGTAGCTCACACTACAGGCGAGTGCACCACCACGAATGGCTAATTCTTCTATTTTTTTGGGAGAGGGTGTCTCGAAATGTTGCTTAGGCTGATCTTTTTTTTTTGAGACAGAATCTCACTCTGTTGCCCAGGCTAGAGTCCCGTGGCGTCAGCCTAGCTCACAGCAACCTCAAACTCCTGGGCTCGAGCAATCCTACTGCCTCAGCCTCCCAAGTAGCTGGGACTACAGGCATGCGCCACCATGCCCAGCTAATTTTATATATATATATTTTTAGTTGTCCAGCTAATTTCTTTCTATTTTTTTTAGTAGAAACAGGGTCTCGCTCTTGCTCAGGCTGGTCTCGAACTCTTGAGCTCAAACAGTCTGCCTGCCTCAGCCTCCCAGAGTGCTAGGATTACAGGCATGAGCCACCACACCTGGCTGCTTAGGCTGATCTTGAACTCCTGGCCTCAAGGGATCCTCCCGCCTTGGCCTCCCAAAATGCTAGAATTACCGGCCTAAGCCACTATGCCTGGCTTGTAATTTGAGCTTTCTAGTGTTGCATATTAGACAGATTATAGTACTGGCTTTGATGCCTAGTAGGCCTGTTAAGGCAGTATTCCATCTCACAGAATCAGAATATTAGAATGGGAAGGGCCCTTACATAAAATCTAGTTCAGTCCTCTGCTAATGAAAAAATTGAAATCCAAGGAGGAAGAACTTACCTGAGATCATATAGAGAATGAGTGGAGGGGAGACAGGCTTTGAGCCCAGGTCTTCTGATGTCTTATCTTGTGTTCCTTCCATAATATTGCAACTCCTCAGGTATTGCTTTAATACAGTGGTTCTCAAATGTGACCAGGCATCAGAATCACTTGGTGAGCTTGTTAAAACACAGATTATTGGGACCCATCCCTAGAATTTCTGATTCAGTGGGCCTAGGTGTTAGGCTCAAGAAATTGAGTTTCTAACAAATTCCAGCATCAAGTAAAGCTGATACTGTTAGTCCTAGGACCACACTGTGAGAAGCCCTGCTTGAAGACATTCTAGGAGAAAGGTAATATTTGACCATGAAGTGTGCTGGCAGTAAGTAAAGTACATGGGATTTTAAGGGTTAGGGAACAGTTATATATTGAGAATCTCTCTGGCAGGAATTGCAGCGAGAGAACACTTTCTTACGTGCACAGTTTGCACAGAAGACAGAAGCCTTGAGCAAAGAAAAGATGGAGCTTGAAAAGAAACTGTCTGCTTCAGAAGTGGAAGTCCAGCTCATCAGAGAGTCGCTCAGAGTGGCATTGCAGAAGCATTCTGAGGAGGGGAAGAAACAGGAAGAAAGGGTGAGCTGAGGAGCTGATAACTATCTAATTCACAAAGGAGTTGGCAGTCAGCTCACTCTTCCAAAGCCTAGGCGGTTTCTGGACCCTATTCCTGGAACCAAGTGAAGCCAATTGGGTGAGACCCTCCACTGATTGCTCACATGGAACTGGTCTATTAGAAATGGAACCCCTCCTTTCTGCTTTGGCTCCACAAAACTACCATAGTCAGGGAACACTGTATAATCTCTCACTGTCCCAGGTTGTGATGTGCTGCCAGCTGGCCTGGGTAGAAAACCAGCCTGAGCAGTCATACCAGATGGCACTGTTGCAAGATGTTAAAATACCTGTGGTATTTATTGACTCTGCTTTTTCCTCACTATGTCTAAAAAGTAGAGAAAAATTCCGTGTGTACAGCTAGTTTGGGAGTTTATTTTTGCCAGTGCTCTTAGAATTGCCTTAGGGAAAGATCGGTCATCATTAGAGAAGCTAGTTTAAAATCCTTTGGTTTTGTCGATACCTCTCAATTCACAGCTTACTCTAAAGCACATGTTCTTGGGGGACCAGTTTGGTAGTTTAGTTCTAGACTGCTTGTATCAAAACAAATGTGTTTAAAAATCACTTAGCTATCTTGTTAAAATTGCAGATCCAGATTCAGTAGTTCTGGGAGACAGCCTAAGATCCTGCATTTCTAACAAGCTCCCAGGGGATGTTAGTGCTGTTGGTAGAGCAAAGACTTAGAGAGCTTGTTAAAAAAGAAAATTTTAATTAAAATAGTATCTAATTTAAATAAATGCCAGTAGGTTTATAATAAAAATTACTAGTTCTGTACCCTAGTCCAACCCCACAATGGTATCTCTTCAACTCTTCTCTTTATCCTGATACATACCTCTGTACAGTTGACCTTTAAACAACACGTGTTTGAACTGCGTGGGTCCACTTATACGTGAATTTTTTTCAACCAAACACATCAAGGGATGCAAAACCCAAGTATATGGTAGGCCAACTTTTTCATATACTCAGGTTCCACAGGGCTGCCTGTGGGACTTGAGTATGCACAATAGGTGTAGTAGATGTATGCAGGCGATCCTGGAACCAATCCCCTGGGTATATAGGGGGATGACTATATTTCTGAATAGTATGCTTTTCTTGAGTTTCTTTGGTGAATTTTAGACATCTGTTTTTGTTTCATAGATACAGTATCTCATCTTTGACAAAATTGATGATAGCTTTTTTCGATGCCTACATCTGCTTATAGTGTTTCTTACTTCCTTCAGGTCCTTTTTTCTGTTTTGGTGTCTTTCACCAAAGACACCAAGAGAGTGTCTTTAGAGACTTGATCGTTGAATGAGTGGGCACTCATATTTAAGAAAGAAACATTTAAAAGCTATATGAAAGCCCTGGGTTCATGGTAGTTGCCTGTTGGACTTTACTGTAGGGTCAGACTTAGACTGCCCTTTTCACCTGGGAACTTGAAATCTAGATGTCGTTTCTCAGCCTCTAAAGAAGAATCTTCAGCCTGCTCCCTGGTGCAGAGGCTGGGTGCAGGAATACTTTTGGCCTTTGGATTCCTGATGCTGGGAAGGAGATTGGGCTTAGAGTCCCACAGTTCTATACATAGATTTTTACTTATACTTGTTTTCAACCCAGTACTTCACCCTGTCTCTCTGCTCTGACTGGTATCCCTGAGTCTAGAATCTCATTTGATTTCTCCAGAGAATAAACCTCTAGTCTCCTGTTGGAGAAGCCCAGAGTGAGGGTGTTATTTGCTCACTTCGATATAGACTTCCAGTGATTCCCCTATTTGTCAGGTCTATGGTTGATACCTCATTCCATAGCTACCTGGTGCTTCAAGTTTAGAGTCCCTTAGGACTTGTGAGGGGCACATTGTCATCCATGTTGTCTGTAACTCCCACTGCACCTCT